GCCCTTCTGCCTTGGGAGGCAGTAAATGCCTGGACTGCTAGAGCTCCCTGCTCAGAAGGAACAACACTCCTCCCCTCTACCACCAGGAGCACAGAGCAGCACTCCAAACCCCCAGGTCCCGTGATGCCAGGGGAGCCAATGCCTCACGTCTCTGATTCATTTCTCATGGTTCATCTCCTTCACTGGGTTCTCTATATTCCATTTCTGCTACTTGCTAGGCCTAGAACTTCAAGTAAGCTGCTGAACTACCATCTGAGCCTCTATTTCCTCTTGTATAAGAGTCAATATTGGTAACATCCACTTCCTACTCTTTTCTAGCATTCAGCTTCAGGAAGATAGTAGACATCAGGCTCGTCGGGCCCAGTGCCTAGCACCTGCTCTGCTGCTACTAACTCCTGGCTGAGACTAACACTATGCTCTGTGCTCAACCCCCTCCACACATTACCACATTTGCTCTACGCCACAGCACTAGGAGATAGGGACCCTCGTGATCTTCATTTCACAGATGAGGAAGCTTGGGCCGACAGTGATTCAAGTGACTTGTCCATATAAACCCAGCTAAGAAATGAGTGAAACTGGGACATCAAAACAGGTCTTTTAATGCCAGGATTCAGGTTTTTATTCACTTGGCTCTCCTACCCAAGGTCACATTAGAAGCTATTAAATGATGAAAGTGGGACTAGACTCCAGGTCCACTGTCAATTCCTCAGCAGACCAAACACCTGGACAGAGTGACTGAAGGACCTCCTTGGCAAAACTATCTCTGACCTCCACCTCACTCAGGACCCAGATCACATTCTGTTTCTCCTGTAATTTCCTTCAGGCCAATACTGAGCTTTCTGCTGCTTTTTTTTTTTTTTTTTTTTTTTTAATCTCAGTCTGGTGCAGGGAGAAGGATGCAGTCTTTGGAGCTAGACAATATGGCTTTGAATACCAATGCTGCTTACTCAGTGAATGGCCTTGGCCGTGTCATGGAACCTTTTCAAACCTCAATTTCTTCATCTGGAAAATAAGGATGGCTCTTCCCTTGCGTTACTGTGGAGGTTTGAGCAAATACACGTGGAACACCCAGCACTAAGTAGGCACTGTCTGGCAAGTACCTTCCTGTTGTCATTATCATCATCATGTCCCACTGTAGTAGCTCATCGTTGGGTTATTGCTTACTTACGCTATTCATCTGTCCAAAGCATCTGGCCTGGCACTCCTGTATATGTCTGGTTGAAGTGAAAATCGGAGAGATCCAAAGAGGGAGAGCCATGCCAAGCTACGTAATTACTGAAGGGAAAGGTCATCTCACAGACATCCTAAACAGATCCCCGAATCACCTAGAGCCTCAGTTTCCCCCACAGATCACATCCAGCTTCTCCTAAAGGGCTCACAAAAATGGCAGCTTGCAATATCAGAGGTTTCTAATGTAATAAGATGGATAATGAAAAGATTCTTCTTCCCCAAGCCTTGAGTGAGTCAGAGCTCTGTACTTGGCTCAGCCCCAGAGAATACCAAGAAAATGAAATATCGTCTGTATCCTCCTGACACCTGAACAAATGGTCAATTCCATGGGTCAAAAATCAACCAGAGGGGTTAGGAGCCCCCTCCAGGGAAGGCAGGTGAAGAACAGCAAGGAAATGACCATTTGTAAAGGTTGCTTGACGGGGTCCTGCTCCGCAGCTGCAGCACCTGTCTGCCTTTACTGTGAGATGTTTATTCTGCCTTTGCAAAAGACACCAGTAAATGACAACATGCCTGAAATCAACAAGGATTTGGGACTTCTCAATCTGGCTCAGTCATTTCTTCTCTATCCTGATATTGCATCAAGATATAAATTCTCATCTGGATAACAAGCCATTCTCTTTTGTAATATGGAGAAACCTCCTCTGAATCTCAGATGAGCTTGCTGTTTTTGCCCTGGCCTTTTGCCATCAGAGAAAACTGGCTGATAGGCTGAGTCTTTGCATTGCAGCTGGTTGCTGGGACCTTGTAGACATGGCATCTATAAATTTAACGGTGTGCCACTGCCTGTTCATGGCTGGTGCAGCCAATGCCCAGGGAGATAGGCTGCCAGAATCAAAATGTAGACTTGGAAATGCTCTTCAGATTGTCCCACCCGCTCCTTCCCCACATCCTGTCTTTGTATTAAACACCAGCTTTGTGCCAATTCATTGGTATTCTCTTCCTCCTACTACTTCTTTGGAGAGTGAACCAGTTCAATACCATCATCTTAGACATCAAGATACATAAAAAAGATAGAGATTGTGTGGGCGATGCCCCACTCCTGATCCCCATAAAAGAGATGTGGGAGAAAGGGCGCTAAGATTGCTGAATTATCCTGCAAGAGAAGTCAACCACCTGGATCTAGGGCATTTCAAAGATCACCTTGGCCCACCTCTGTCTCCAGCCATGTCCAAACATGGACAGTCTGTCCTCTTCATACAAACCCCTGACAAAGGAATGTCCCCAAGTCGTGCCGGTCTCCCAACTCACAGCATACATGATAAGAGGCTGTCTTGGGGTGTTGTACCTCAACCATGTAGCAACCATGTGTGTGAGCCTGGGGAATAGCTGGGCAAGCACCCCTGCCCTGGAGCAGCTCTGGCAGCCTGGTAGTTCTCTGCTCCCCTGCCACACTTTCACAGTAAGAAGTGAGACAAGCCTGGGGGTCCCAGGAGTACTTGGAGATCTAAATCACTCTAACCTAAGAATCACTTATGTTCATTCCTCAACTACAACTTTAGCCAATGTAATTGAGATAAAAGGGAAATAGAGAAATCTGTTTTCCGGGTTGTCTCCACACACATTTCTTCTTAATCTCCAGGAAAATTCCTTGAAATTGTGTGTTCTGTGCAGTGTGTTTTCTGCCACCCAAAAGGCAGAAAATTAAAACTTCAGCTTGGTCTGTGATAAACACCTGCTCTCACCCCCATAAAAATAAAACTTAAGAGCCCACCTTGGAGCTGCAGAGTTTAGAGCTGAGCGACCATGAGAGAACCATGCTTCCACCCTGAATGTCAAGTTTACAGTGACCATCAAGAAACCCAAGACGCACAGCTTGTGGGTTGGAGTAAAACAGTGTTGTGTCGGACCTGACCTTTTTTTTGTAAAGATTTGTTTTATTTTACTTGAAAGTTAGAGAAACAGAAAGAAAGGGATAGATGGAAAGATAGAGATCTTCTCTCCACTAATGTACTCCCCAGGTGGCCAAAACAGCCAAAGCTGGGTGCCAGGAGCTTCTTCTGGGTCTCTCACATCGGTGCAGGGGTCCAAAGCCTTGGGCATCCTCAACTGCTTTCCCAGGGCATTAGCAGGGAGCCGGATCAGAAGTGAAGCAGCTGGGACGTAAACCAGTGCCCAGATGGATTACTAGCCCTGCAGTTAGAAGATTAACATGTTGTGCCACTGCACCAGTCCCAGACATGACTTTTCAGCCTCCAACTGCCAGGGTCTATTGCTTTATCCTGCTTGTCTCCTCGGTCACAGACCTTCCTCTGAATCACTGTTTTTTCATCTGTCCATGGAAAGTGGTTACACTTCTCTCAAATAAGTAGGTTCTTTGCTATCAGCAGGTGCTCAGCAAGTGTGAACTCCATCCCAGCACTAGCAGTTCAGGTTCCCCAAACGGACCCCTCGGAAAACACAGCTCCCTCTGTAACAGTCACTCCAGTCCTCGATGCGGGGGTCCTGGGGGCAGAGTGCGACAGGGCAGCTAAGTGCTCAGCTTGGAAAGAGACCTCAGAGCTGCGCTTGGCTCCTGCACTGGTTCCTCCTCCAGGGCTGTGTGTGGGTTTACACAAAGAAGGAAAACCTCTGGGGAACTACATCTGCAAAGGAGAAACGAAGGTGACAACAGTCCCTTTGCTCACGAGAAAATGTAAAAAGACCGGAGCACAATGTTGGGTTTAAGAAATGTGGAATAAATTCTAACCTTATCTAGGATCTTCCCTGGGCTTTTTTTTTTTTTTCAGAGGGGGTGGGGGAATGGATGCTTCTAAGCAACATTCACTCACTCCTGGGAGTGTGTCCCTGCTGCTGAATATGCACCAAACTATCAGACAGAAAAGAGAAATATCAGCCAAGGATTCAAGTCCCCAGGGACCCCCGCGGCTGCTTCCCCTCTGAGTCTGCCGGCTCTTGGCTGGAGCGTCCATGCAAAAACACTCCCAAGCAGCTGTTGAAAAGTTCTGATGCTCCCTCACCCCCAGCCCTCCCCAACACACGCCCACTCCCAGTGCTTTTCCCTCCCTGAGCTTTCTTTTCTTTCTCCCTAACACCTGTCTGCATGTGACTCACCTCTGAATCTGTTGACGCGTTTGTCTCCTCTCGCTAGAATGCCAACACCTGGAAGGCTGGCATCTTTTTGGTTCGATTGCTAAACCCACAATCCCTAGAAGGGAACCGGTGGAGGGGCCACGCGGGGGCAGCAGTGGGTACTCGGTCATTGAATGAATGAGTGGCTGAGTGAATGAATGAAGAGAAGCCTCCAGCTTTTGTGGGGATCCAGAGAAGATGCACACAGGGGTGAAAGCATAGGGACTGACCAGCACAGCTGATTTGTTATCTCTCCCACCTGCCTAAGCCCCCCTGCAATTGTTCCGCTTTTAGGGGCCAGTCAAGTTGCACAGCTCATTAAATCCAGAGACATCTGATTGCGGACACCCCTTGGTCAGAGGTAAGCACCCTCTCCACCCCCCCCCCCCCCGCCATCCCACTTTGGAAATCCAAAAGTGAATAGGAGGAAAGATAAAGCCCTACGGGATTTTAGTCCCCGGGTGGGTGACCGGGGATCCCCACGCCCGGCTCCGCCCCCACGCCGGTCCCGCCCCGGGTGCGGCGTTAGGGAGCGCTGGTGGAGGGGCCACGGCCAGCCTCCCTGCTGCCTGGAGTGGCGGAGTCGGGGATGCGCAGGCCTTGGCTGGACCCGCATTGCCCCCTAGTGCCGCGCCGAGTCAGGGCGCCGGGCTCCCCCGCCTGATGTCACCGGCGTGCAGTCAGCCCAGAGGCGGCTCATTGACAGCAGACCCTCCTCGGCGCTCTCGCTGGGCGGAGGAGGCGCCGCGGTGCAGAGCCGCGCGGGCCGGCCGCTGCCGGGAGCCCCTGGCCCTGCTGCCCCCTCCCGCCTGCGCCCGCCCGCCCGGCGCGCCTGCCGCGGACCATTAAACTTGAAGCTGCCGCCTTGTCCCCTCTTCCCCTCCTCCTTCTCCTCCAGCAGGCGACTGAGCGGCTCGGTGCAGGCAAGGGACGTGCTGTCGCCAGAGCTGGGCTGCCCTGGGGACATGACTTCTCAGAAGGCCGTCCCTGCAAAGAAGATCACAAGCAGAGCAAAGTTTCAGGGCAGCTGAGGAGCCTTCACCGCAACCCTTCACCCCCAATCACCCCCGCTGGCTATGGAGGGCGGACTCTAAAATGAATCCCGATCTGGACCCCGGCCACAACACATCAGCACCTGCCCACTGGGAAGAGTTGAAAAATGCCAACTTCACTGGCCCCAACCAGACCTCAAGCAACTCCTCTCTGCCCCAGCTGGACGTCACCAGGGCCATCTCCGTGGGCCTGGTGCTGGGCGCCTTCATCCTGTTTGCCATTGTGGGCAACATCCTAGTCATTCTGTCTGTGGCTTGCAACCGGCACCTGCGCACACCCACCAACTACTTCATTGTCAACCTGGCCATCGCAGACCTGCTGCTCAGCTTCACCGTCCTGCCCTTTTCCGCTGCTCTGGAGGTGCTCGGCTACTGGGTCCTGGGGCGCATCTTCTGTGACATCTGGGCAGCTGTGGACGTCCTATGCTGCACAGCGTCCATTCTGAGCCTGTGTGCCATCTCCATCGATCGCTACATTGGGGTGCGCTACTCTCTCCAGTACCCCACGCTGGTTACCCGGAGAAAGGCCATCTTGGCGCTCCTCAGTGTCTGGGTGTTGTCCACTGTCATCTCCATTGGGCCTCTGCTTGGCTGGAAGGAGCCAGCGCCCAATGATGACAAGGAATGCGGGGTCACCGAAGAGCCCTTCTATGCCTTCTTCTCCTCCCTGGGCTCCTTCTACATCCCGCTGGCCGTCATTCTGGTCATGTACTGTCGCGTCTACATCGTGGCCAAGAGGACCACCAAGAACCTGGAAGCAGGGGTCATGAAAGAGATGTCCAATTCCAAGGAGCTGACCCTGAGGATCCACTCCAAGAACTTTCACGAGGACGCCCTCAGCAGTACCAAGGCCAAGGGCCACAACCCCAGGAGTTCCATAGCTGTCAAACTTTTTAAGTTCTCCAGAGAAAAGAAAGCAGCCAAGACCTTGGGCATCGTGGTTGGTATGTTCATCTTGTGCTGGCTTCCCTTCTTCATCACCCTCCCACTAGGTAAGCTGGAGATGGGCAGAGGGCAGGTGGGCATCCTCGGAGCTTGGGTCTCCTCCTGATGAGCTTGCCTTCGAGTTGTTATTGTTGAGAGCGTTGGAGTTGTTATTGTTGAGAGCCTTGGGGTTATTGTTGTGTTTTTATTTTTGTACAGTCTGTGTGTGTGTGTTTGGAGATTGGATAATACTGTTTGTTCTGCAAAGGGCTTTGCAGATTAAGGAGCTGGCTCAAAATCAACTCAGGTGGTAGATACCTAGTCACTCGAAATAGAAACACAGGAGGAAAATCTGGGATCGGGAATGACTCACTGCATAGGTTTGGTTTAAAAATTCAACAGGACACTGGCCCTGAGCATCACACCCACGTTATTTCGGTAGTAACGAGGTGTCGGCTGAGGCGGCGTCACTAATGCAGCATACAGAATAGTTGTAGTTACCGCAAACGCGGCGGTCGGGAGGCAGGCAGGCAGCATTCATTCAGCAGTGCCTGGACTCTTGCTGCGACCACGCTCCTCCAGAGCTTTGCAGAAGCTGCCCTCCAATCCCCACCCCACTCTTCCCTGCTGCCAGCTCTGTTCCCCGCTGCTGGCTACCCTCCCGCCTCCATGCACTGCCTTCATTATCACTTAATAACAGCGTTTCACAGCCACACAGTTCAGCCAGCCTCTGGCTTAAACAAAGCTTGAGATTTGCAAAGGAAAAGATGACCAGAGGGTCACCCATTCTCATATTTCACCCCAAGATGTTCCTGACTCCTCTGAGTTGTGGAATGTCTAGAATGAAATGATAGCTGTCCCTACACCTTCAGCTCCCAGACACCAGGAATTCCGTGTGTCCTCCCCCTTGTAGGAAAAGCATGTCCGTTCTGTTTTGTTGGGTTGCCCTGTCAATTGAACAGCTCACAAGGGCACCTGGCTTCTTCTAAACCTAAAAGAGGGCACTGTGATATGCTGTCCACATGACTGGGGAGACCCTGGTCCCTTCTCAGAGGTAGCACCTATATATGCACTTGGGTTTCTTCACATTTCCCCCTGGCAGAACACTGCACACAATGAATGAATGGAGGTGGGTGATGCTGACATGGTTACGTGCCAAGACAGTGAGAGAGGTCATAACTGCTGCATGCATGGACCTCATACACCTGCAAGCCTGTCAAAGTCTCGGAACTGAATAGAACCAAGCCTTGTAGCCACTCAAATTCTGAAAATCTAGTGCTTTCAAGAGGGAAGAAAAAATGTGAATGGAAAGAAAGCAAACTGATACCAAGAGTTGCATTAAGATGAGACAAAGGGAGAGAAGCCTATTTAACCTACTGTCCATGTCCTCTTAGGCTGACTTGGAGGCTAATGCCTTTCAGAAATACTTTGAGATCATTGTTAAGTGGAAAAGGCTTGAAGTATAACCCCTAGTATATCCCACTGCAGATGATCTCACTTTATTTTCCTGATGCCTTAGGGTCCTGCTGCAGGCATGTCCAGTTAACAGTGGATGATGATTCCCACTGCATTGGACCATCATGATTGCATGTAGGGATGACTTGGTCTCTTACTAGTCACATGACCTTGTCAAGTGACTACTCCTATGTGGACCTCAATCTCTTCATCAACCAAAGTTTGTTCACTGGTATCTGCTCCATGGGGATTGCATTTACTAATGTGTGCATGGGACTTACCATGATACACAGCATACCATCGGTCTCAGGGAAAATGAGCCATTAGTACTACAAATTAGACTCCTGTTATTCCTTCAGATTCACCTGCGCATTTTCTCCCTCTCTCGTTTGCCAGATCTCATACCTGTTTCGAACAGATCAGACAAGAGCTGGGTCCTTCTCAATTTTCCTTATCCTGTGCCCTGCACGCAGCGGAGGGCAAGGTCCCTATATGATGTAGGAGTGGATCAAAGGTACAGGCTTTGGCAGGAGGCCAGGGGAGCCAGTACAAACAGGTGGGGAGCTCTCCAGCATGTTGAATGGGAAGAGCACTACTAATGGGCAGGGACAACCATATTCCCAGCAAGCCCTGCCACACATTCAGCTCTGTGACTTGAGGCTTGCTGCTTTGCCTCTCTGGGCTTGCGATCTCATGCCTGAACTTCAAAAGAGGGCATGAGAGGGTGGAGCTAGAAGAAGTGATCTCAAACTTGAATGATCAGAATGACCTGGTCAACCTGATAAAAATGTAGGTACCTAAATTCCACCCATAGAGAATCAGATTCAGTAAGACAGAAGGATCCCAATGGTCTTCATGTCAAATCAGCCACCCAATAACTCTAAAGAGGTTGTCCACAAACCAGGCTGTGAACCCCACAAGAGTCTCTTCAGGCTCCAACTCCCTAGAGACCAGTTTCACACACTGCCAAGCTTGGACCTGCCCCCAGCCATGGGGTGATTTGTGGGTGGTGTCACTTGTCTCTGGGTCCTGCCCTTCAAGTTATCAAGCCCACACTCAGTTTCTTCTGAAATTTCCCCATGTCTCTCTCCTTTCCACCTGTGCCCTGATGAGCCCTTGTCCCTCTTGTATCTCAGGTTCCTGGCCTCCACATGATAGGCAGTAGAAGGTCTTGCCTCCCAGATGCTCTTGGAACTTGTACCCCCTCTCTGTACCATGACTGACTGACTCTCCCAGTTGTGATCTCTTGGTGATCCCCAGTGTGCTGTCCTGGAGCTGAGTCCATCCGTATCCATCCTCCCTGGAACCCAGCAGGGGAGAAGAGGACTCCCCATTAGAAGTTGGGAACTGCCTTGAATTTGGTATAGATTCATCCACAGTTACTTGATTGCTTCAAATCAAGAAAGTAATGAATGTTTTCCTAATCATTGAGGAAGAACAGTCCAACAAAATGGACGTGTGGGTTTCTACTCCTTCTGAGTTGAAATAACAAAGTAGTGTGATATAGGACAATAACTCCTTTGGAATCTGAAGAAGGTTCCACATTCTGAATTTTCTGTGAAGGTCTTTTCACTCCTGAAGGGAGAAATCAGATCTGGTGGCAGGGGTTGGGGGGACGGCTGGGAGGAGAGATACAGTGGTTGGCAGACAGAGGAATGCAAATGCAGATAGGAGTCACTTCTAGATGGTTGTAGACTTTCAGGGGCCTAGATGGAACAGATTTCCATAGCCATGTTTGTTTTCTCCATGGGAGAGAAGGGTTGGGATTCCTTCTGGGAAGGAGAAAAATAGCCATGCCCCCTATGAGATCCTGCCCAGGGGCCCCGTTTGTTTTCCCTCCACCCAGGGTTTTTGTTTTTGAGAGCAGGGCTGGGCTGTGTGCAGGGCAGGGCCTCTTGGCTCCTACTGTGCCCTTCCTACCTGTAATGCCTTCCCTACCCTCGCCCTTATGGCCTCAAATGAAGTTGAATCCAGGACCAGTACTCACTTGCTCAAGAGAAGGGGTTGCATTCTACCAAACAATGACTTTTTTTATTTGACCCCTGGAATCCATCCAAGGAAGGACAAGAAGTAATTGAAATAGAATATAGTAGGGCTTCTAGTCCACACACAAGATGTTCAAGAGAATCTTGAGCTGGCTGGCATTATAATTATAATGAAGATCAACAGCCACCTGCCAGGGGCCTGGGCAAGGAATGGCTGGGTGTTGAGGGGTGGCTTACAATGAATGGAGTGGGGGAGACTGAGGTGGCGGACTGTTGCAGGAAGTGCTGAGCAAGCCGACTAGTAGCTGAGCTTAGTGAGTTGTTTAGAAAACACTAGAACCTTGCCTTGCTCCAAATTTTTCTTTCGTCTTTTACAATGCTGAAAGGCACCAGGAAACCATTATTGAACTAGCTGCTTTCCCCTCCAAGTAAATGAAGGTCAATTTCAAAAGAACAGTTGTGCTCTCTATAGTCCATGATTCAAACCAAAATCCTTTTCTCTATGGATTTGATTCTCCAGCCCTCTCACTCAAATGAGTGTTGATGATTTTCCACTCCCTACAAGAATGAGAGGTCTCTGAGATGACTCAGGACAAAGCCACGCCTACAAATGCATACACAAATCCTCCAGCTTGTTGGCTTCAAGGCATAGAGAGCTGAGCTGCCCACAGAAACGCTTTTGGTTTGACTCCTTGCTGAGGGGAAAAGTTTTACACACAGGGACTCCTTCCTGGAAGTGGAACTTCCTACTGAGCTAAAATGCTTTGCATCATTTATTGAGTTAGCAAGGACTCCCTGAAGTATCTATTAAACACTGTGCTGTTGAACCAAAGCCGACATGGCCCCTGGCCACATGAGCTGCATGGCCAAGTGAGATTGTGTGGTTATTGAACACATCCGTACATGTGGCAGATCTTCTGCTAGACTTCCCACTGACTCTCTCACCAACCCTCCCACTCCTGAGAAATAAGCAACCTGAGAAAGACCAAGGTCAGCCAGCCGTGTTCCAACTTAAAGCTAATTTTCTCCCTGCCTCCTGCATGCACAGCAAATAAGGGTCTCTCCAGGCTGAATACTTGGCTAATCTCCCCATCCAGAAAGTGAATTTTGGGAGCTGGAATCCTAGCCCTCTTTTTTTTTTAAGATTTATTTTATTTTTATTGGAAAGGCGGATATACAGAGAGGAGAGACAGAGAGGAAGATCTTCCGTCCGATGATTCACTCCCCAAGTGAGTGCAACGGCCGATGCTATGCCGATCTGAAGCCAGAAGCCTCTTCCGGGTCTCCCATGCGGGTGCAGGGTCCCAAAGCTTTGGGCCATCCTCGTCTGCTTTCCCAGGCCACAGGCAGGGAGCTGGAAGGGAAGCGGGGCTGCCAGGATTAGAACTGGCACCCATATGGGATCCTGGCGTGCAAGGCGAGGACCTTAACCACTGCACCATCGCGCCGGGCCCCCTAGCTTTCTTTTTTTTTTCTTTTTTTTTATTTTTATTGGAAAGGCGGATATACAGAGAGGAGAGACAGAGAGGAAGATCTTCTGTCCGATGATTCACTCCCCAAGTGAGTGCAACGGCCGATGCTATGCCGATCTGAAGCCAGAAGCCTCTTCCGGGTCTCCCATGCGGGTG